CTTTACTGGTGACCCTGGTGGCCTGGTCAGCTGGACCCACAACTATTCTGGCACTAGCTTTGTGCCGGGTATCCTGGATGAGAATGCCAACCTGGATGCTAGCTGCTTCCTAAATGGCTTTGAAGGGTTGAGAGAAAGTAGCCTCCCTGGCACCTCGGTGCCACCCAGTGTGGACATTCACCAGAGCAACTCAGTGGACCTCAGCCTGTCTTCCTGCGACTCCTTCGAGCTACTCCAGTCTCTGCCAGATTACAGTTTGGGGCCTCACTATACCTCCCAGAAGGCGCCTGGCAGCCTGGACAACCTCGAGGCATCCCATGGCCCCTTGCCTGGCCTCTCTCCACCGGGGGATGGCAGCACTTGCTTCCTGGAGTCCCTCATGGGCTTGTCTGAACCAGTTGCCGACGCCTTGGCCCCCTTCATCGACAGCCAGTTTGAGGACACTGCCCCGGCCTCTCTGGTAGAGCCTGTGCAGGTCTGAGGTACTAGGGTACCTTTCCCCTGCCCCGAGAGCCCTGTTGCTGCTTTTTTTGTGATTTGGGGGCTCCCCAAGGTCTGTATGTAACAAGTTTCCTATTGGCTGGCTCAGCCACGGGTATGTGGGCACTCCTGGTTTCCACGAAACACTCTGAATTTATTTATTTATTAACTTTTGTATGCTGAAGAGAGTGGGAGGGGCTTCCCCCTTTCAGCGGCCTGGCCCCCCACACCCACACAGTGCTCTTCCACCTCCTCAGCATGGGCCAGGAAGAGAAGACATGGCTCTTCTGGAGCTTCGCAGACCTCTTTTCAGTCTCTGTATGATATTCCTTAGCCCAAGGACAGTGGAACGGGGCTCATCAGCCTCTTCGGGCTTCTCAACGCCGCTCTGAGCCCTAGACCCATGGGGTGGCTAGATCCTCTGGACTGTGAAGACTGTAATTTATTTCCATAATTTATTTGGAGACTGTAGCAGCTTTAGCTGTGCCTCTTTGGCTGGTAGGTAGTACTGGGGGCAGGGTCCCTTTTGTCCTGCATCCTGTCCTGCCTGGGCTTTGGTGTATACCAGGTGTGGATGCAAGCCCTGTGGTCTCCTGTTGGTTGCCTGGTTCGGGGATGGCTGTGTAAGCAGGTGCTGGGCTGGCCAGCTGTGACCAAAACCCCCTTATGCCTGCCCTACCCAGCCCCTTTGCTTCCTGCCCTCTGATCGACTTTCTCCCCTCCAAAAGGCAGTGGCCTCTGTTCCCAGCGTGTAATATAGGATAGGAGGGGGAGACTAGATGCCCGGAAAGGGCAAGGGACTTGCCTTGGTATGAACACCACCCTGCAGGGCTTTGGGGCACTGTACTCCATCCCAGCCCACCATGTACCCCAAGGCCAGTTGCTAAGGGGTGGCTCCTTAGGGCTTTTATGCCCTTTGTTTGCTGATGTTGAATTATGAATTTTGAATTTTACATTAACTTTTATATTGTCCCTCAGTGTCAGAACTATAATTTATTCATTTCTCTGTGTGTCTGTGCCAAGAAAGCTAGGCTCTGGGCCTGCCCCTTTGCCTAGGCAGCCTTGCCAGCCTGTGCTGTGGGAACACATTGTACCTGAGCTGACAGGTACCAATAAAGAGGCTCTATTTTTAACGGTGTGGTCTGCATTATTGGGATGGGGAGCTGGGGTACACCTCCAGGAGCCAGTGGAGAAGGAGGGGGTGGCCTTGGAGGGCAGTGTGGACATTGGGGCCGTGTTGGGTAGGTGGGGTGCACATAGTACACTGGGCCTCCTTCCAGGCAGGACAGTCGGGCTTGGAGGCAGGAAGCCAGCTGAGAGGCTGGCTGGGCAGATGGTGCACTGTTCCTTTTGAATTAACCCATTCCTCCCCAGTGGTCATTTGGGGTAGCAGTGGGGAGCAGCAGCAAGGCACTCTTCTGGAATGGGGCTGTCTACTTTGGGTAAGTGAAAGCACTGAGCTTGGGCCTGCCCCAGAAGGTAAAGTCACCCACCACCAGGTTGGAACAGGCATTGAGATGTGGCTGGTGGAGGCCTGGCCTGGAGATGGGCTCAACAGCTGTGGCACCAGAAGCTGCAGAGCTTCATCCATCTGCACCAACCAGACCTGTCTGACCTGTCCCCAGCAGCTGAAGTGGGCTGTGGGCCAAAGGAGCAGGCTGCACCCTGCCCCAGGGAGCCTTTGGAAGCATTTCACCCTCTCCCTTACAGATGGTAATGATTTGTACAGGTGCTGGGAGGGGGACCAACCAAAAGACCCTTTTCGTGGTCTAACCCTCTGCCTCTTGGTCTGCGCTGGGCGCACTCATGAGCATGACCCAATGACAGGTTTGAATCCCAGCTTTTCTATTACCTAGTGAGGTGACTTATGCAAATTAGGTGCTCTGTACCTGGGTGTCCTCAGTACTGTGCAAATAACATTGCTCCTTTCATTAGCTTGTTAAGTTCATATATGCAAAATACTTGGAGGAGTGCCTGCAGCATGCAAGCCTGTGTTTGCAATTTCATTTTGTTTTTATGTTTCTGTCTTTATATGTTCCCCTCTTTTTTTTGCCAGTCCTATCATCCCTTGGGTGTCTGTCTCTTCTGGACATGCATGGGCATGACCACATAATAATGGCCATTAGAAGAATGGCTTGGAGTCTGGCCTGTCGTGGGGCAGCATGTCCTTGTAACCAGTTTAGCCAGAGACAGCCCAGCCCTTAGGCTTCCCAGGATACAGCACCTTTGTACATTCAGTTGTTCTGCTTCCTCACCCTTCAATGTTGCCTGCAGATGCTTTTGCAGATTGCTTCAGCGTGCATGATCCCCAAACCTGGTCTTTCCATGGGCTCTGAAGCATTTCTGACTATCCAGGGTTCTGGTGGCAGCCCTCAGCATCTCCTGCCTAGAAGCCCCTAAATGCTCCTGCTCCACAGATTCAACTCATGCTGGATTGAGGCTTGCCCATTCCCTTCTAGGGCCACAGTGTTACATCTTGAGGTTTTTTTATTTGTTTATTTTTGAGATAAATGAAGATAACTTGTGTTTTACAGCCACAAAAAAGTATGGCTAATGCACACTCCTTTCATAAATAATTCTCCAGACAGACAGACCTGCCTCTCAAACTTGTCCCAACAAAACTGGGTTGTAAAGCAGGTCACAGGAAAAGGGACTGGGGGGTTTTCCTAAAGGAAGGATGGCAGTAACCCGGGGAGGGCATTCCAGAGCACCAACTCACCAAGAGGTCCTGCACATGATCAGTACTACATTAGAAAGAGAAGGTTTGACAGCCATCAAGGACAACTGACACTTTTCAAAAGGGACCCTTATCTGCTCACCGTTCCCAACCTTAGTCATTAGACAACTTCTCTTGAAAATTCTACCCCTCTGCTTCCTGGATGTTTCTTTAAATCAATTATATGGGCTGTTTTCCTCTCTTGGAGGTGGTCTACTCCACGTGTCTGGTGCACTACTTTCATTTCACTAAATAAACCCTTTATACTTTTCTAAAACAAAATATATCGATATGCTTAATAGTTAGACCCATCCTATGCAACAATTTTCATGAATTCTTGAGTTTGTTGTGCTAGTGACTCTTCTGTTATATAAACACATAGTTATTAAACCGAGGGCTGGTGTGTAGCTCAGTGCTAGAGCACTTGCCTACCATGAGTGAGGCCCTGGGTTCCATCCCAGCACTACACAAATAAATAAATACATTCATTCATTAAACTTCAATATTGGCTACATACATCATTGGCAGAGAGTTGTACTAAGATTTGGGAAACATCTAGTCTAATTTCTTGCACTAAAGGGGGACACTGAGAACCAGAGAGGGGAGGGGTTTGGGGAGGTCACATGGGAGATCTTAGGCCTCCCGAATTCCAGTTCAGAGTTCCTTCGCCTGAGGCTGGACTGTCCCATTATTGCCATCCTGAAAAACAGGAAGAGTGGTATCGGGAGCCCAGCAAAGCTGACCTCTGTCACCCTGTTGCTAGTTACAATTTCATTATTCATCTGAATAGGGGCCACTGCATTTGCCCCCTTGGGCATTAAAAGGATTCCTGGGGGATGCATTAGATGGCAACATCTTTTACAAATGCTGAAGTGGGTATTATTTTTTTCTTGGAATGTTATTTTCCTATTTCAGGCAAGAATAATCAGATTTGTCCCAAATTGGTGAGGATCAGCAGATGCTCCCTGAAGACTTGGGGAGGGGGTAGGGACAGGATGCATGTAACAGGATGGGACAATAGCCCTTGCAGACCAGCAGACCCTCTCACCCAGGTTTCAACTCTTGAGGAGGACTTCTGTACCTGAGTCTCCTGTCTGGGTCCATTTCCCAGAGTATCCTGGGCCCATTCCCCGTGGAGGCTCACTGGGTAGCATGGCAGGGAGGAACAGTGCTTCTTTAGCTCCAGAACCAGACAGAAGTGGGGAGGCATTTAAAAATAGCTACAGGAGCTGGATACAGTGGTGCATGCCTGTAATCCCAGTAACTCAGGAGGCTGAGGCAGGAGGATAAATAAGTTCCAGGTCAGTCTCAGCAACTTAGCAAGACCCTGTCTCAAAAATTGAAAAGGGTTGGCGATGTAGCTCAATGGTAAAGTGCTTCTGAATTCAATCCCCATTACAAAAAAATGGGGTGAGGGAATGGATATCTGCCCTCTCAAGAGTCTAGTATTAAAGTAGGGCCTATTATAAAGTGCTAAGCCAATTGATGTCTTTCTTCCCTAGAGCAAAATTACTTTTTGGACCTTAAAAATGAAAAGCTTTGAGTTGGGTGTCTTGGCGCACGCCTGTAATCCCAGTGCCTTGGGAGGCTGAGGAAGGAGGACCCCAAGTTCAAAGCCAGCCTCAGCAACTTAGTGAGGCTCTGTGAGACCCTGTCTCAAAATAACAAATAAAGACAAAGGATGTGACTCAGTGGTTAATTACCTCTGGGTTCAATCTCTAGTACAAAAAAAATAAAAAAAGGTAAAGCTTTGGGTTGCCTTTCAGGTCCACTGAGACATGATTCCAAATAAACCACACATTCATAATAGAAATAGGAAAGAATATGTTATTTTCTGAATTTCTTCTCCAATAACCCACTTCCCACCCCCTCCAGGAAACTGCTCAAGGTTTACGGTTTCCATTGGCCCAGAGTCCCTCAGACCACAGCTAGATCCTCAGCGACCCTTGGGCTTTTCCCAAAATCTCCTCTCTGATCTTGGGGTAGTTGGGGTGTTCCATGAGTACCTGTACCAAGAGAGAATAGGTATTTAGCATCAGGCAGGGGTCCTGGCTACTACCTACCCCTCCCTGCCAACGTCGGTGGCTTACACTGTGGCAGACTTCAATGGCTTCCACAAATTTCTTGTCCTTCAAGTAGTTGAAAGCAAGTTTGAAACCTGCACAGGACCAAGGAGAACACAGAGGGTGGCAACCTCATGACCCCAGGACCCCTTCCCCCAATATCGAGGGAACAGGCCTTGAGTTCTGGGGTCAGGTTGGGGGTCCTGTGATGCCCTCCCTCCCACACCAGCTCATGTGCATCTTGGCTGCTGCCTTACCAATGGTGGGGTTGGCATGATGACTATACTTCCAGGCCAGCTCGTAGTTGGTGGCTGCGTCCTTGTAGGACTGTTCCTTCTCCATGATGAAGCCCATATACTCATAGGCCTTGCAGCAGGACTGCAGGGAAAGTGGGTCAGCACCTCTGTGGAGGGGAAACCAGCGCCCAAGTGTAGTGTGGGTGTGGGACCAGAAGGGGGCGATGGAGGGAGGTGAGCTGCATTAACCCCAGCTTGCACAGGGACCCCAAGGGTACCCTCAGCTTTGCAAGGGGTTAGCTGTGTGCCCTCCTTACTACCACTCCAACGCTGGAGAAGCCCTCTTGTCCCATTATTAGTTTGGTTAGTGGTGTTCTCAGATCCAGCAAACCTCTCCAGCCCTGACTGCACTTCTGCACTCCCTTGACCCCACCAACAGCTTCTCTCTGTCTCTCTCTCTGTCTGACTGTGTCTCTCTCTCTCTCCCATTTTATGTTTTTTTCCTCCTTTGGGAATAATCTGACCCCCTGCACCTCCTCCTGCCTGGCCTTGTCACTGGTGTTGCTAATTCCAATCCTGGTTTGTTGCCCACATGCCCCTCGCCACCTGTTTTTTCCCATCCAGTTCCTTCTCAGCATCTCCTCTGTCCCTGAAGCCTGGGCATCGCTCACAGCGCTCCTTGCAGTTCCTGGACCCCTGCTCCCCCGCCCGGCCTCCCTGCTCAGAGCGCCTCCTCGCCTTGTTGTACTGAATGCAGCGCCGCAGTAGCTCCGAGGCCAGGTCGTATTTGCCGCCTTGGCAGTAGATGTCCGCCAGCAGGAGCCAGCTCTTCTCCAGGTCCTCGGCCTCGGCCAGCGACCAAGCGACCTTGGCTAGGCGCTTCAGCTGGGTACGTGCCTTGGGAATTTGCTTCAGTAGCATGTAGGCTTGCGACATGGCCAGCAGGGCAGGGGTGTTGTCCTTCTGCACATGGAGTGGGAAGTGGCCATCAGCGCACCTTGGCCCTTGTCCTCCGCCCCGCAGCCCGCTGGTTCCCCCAAGCTAGCGCACCTCCGCCTGTGCCATCTCGATGAAGGCACCAAGTGCCACCTCCACGTTCGCCTTCTCCCTGGTGGCCATCAGGCAAAGGCTCTGTAGGAGCCTCAGCTGGGTCTGGTCAAAGGCAGAGTGAGGGTAGAACTCGCGCAGCAGCTTCTCTGCCGTGCGCACCCCATGCTGCTCCAATTCCTTCCTGTTGGTGGAGCTGCAGGCAATGGGACTCAGGCGGCCGGCCTACCTTGTGCACATTGGCTCCCTCCGCCTTCTCCATCCTCTCACCCCAGCCACCCCCCCCCCCCATCCTTACTTGCTTTCAGTCATCGGGTTCTCAAAAGCCTCTCCACCCACAAGCTCGTTGTCTGGGTTTAGACAGATCTGCACCATATAGTAAGTGGCATACGGGCCCCAAGTGCTGTCCTTCCGAGCTTTGTTTAGGAACTTCAAGGCTTCGTTGGGCTGCCCTACGTGCCTGTAGTGGCAGAATCAGGGAAGCTGAGAATCTGGGAGACTGAGACCCAGAGAGGGCACTAATACACCGGAGCCACTGAGCCTGTATAGCAGGGGCTGTATCTCTGGCTCTCTGTCCTGGAGGCTGAATTCCTGCTCCCCTGAAACTGAGCAAGGTCTCTGGTGTCTGCTAGCATACAGGGAGGGTCTCTAGCATACAGCCCCACCTCAACACGCCCCACCAACTAACCAAGAGTAGATGCCTTTGCAGTAGTTGAATCCTGGTTCCAAAGGTACCCGACTGGATATCCTCTTGGATGATTCAAAGAAGGCAGGTGCCTCTTCAAGTTTGCCACTTCTTCGTAGCAGATCAATTAATTTATTCAATACCGAAAAATTGTCTAAAATAAGAGAGCAGAAAATTCTAGGCTGTGGTGGCCAACAGCTGTATCAGGCAGGAGTGCTTTGGCCTGGGAGGGCGAGCAGGCTGAGGTGCAGGGCATCTAGGAGGAGCCAGTAGACACTGCCCATCTGGTTTACAGTGTTGAGTGAATAATAATAATAATAATAATTATGCTTAATAATGGTAATAAAATATAGCTGGGTGTGGTGGTGTACACCTGTAATCCCAGTGACTCAGGAGGCTGAGGCAGGAGGATAACAAGTTTGAGGCCAGCCGTGGCAATTTAGTGAGACCCTTTGCTATTTAGTGAGACCCTGTGGATATACCTCTGGTAAAGTGTTCCTGGGTTCAATCCTCAGTACTAAAATAAATAAATAAATAAATAAAGTAATAAAAATCAGGTACAGTGGTGCATACCTGTAATCCCAGCTAATGGAGAGGCTAAGGCAGAAGGATTGCAGATTTGAGGCTAACCTGGGTAACTTGGCAAGACCCTGTCTTAAAATAAAAATAAAAAAGGCAAGAGGAGTAGCTCAGAGGTATAGTACCCCTGGGTTCAATCTCCAGTAACATACACACACACACACACCACACACACACACACACACACACACACACACAGCAGCTAACTATTGTACCTGGCACTATACTTTACCCATATATTACCTACAGGATATAGTCAGTACTCTTATTGTCCTTATTTTATAGATGAGGACACTGAGCACAGAGAGGTAATTTGCAAAAGGTTACCTGCTAGTAAGTGCTGGACCAGGATTCAGACTCCTGTCCACTTGGACTTGCTGGGCCTGCTCAGAGTCTGGCTTACACCTCAGGTTTGGGCCCTTCCCCAGAGAGAAGGGGATTTTTATGTTGCAGGGAGTGGGAATGGGAGGATTTTTAGTCCCCACTAAGTGGTTGTGAACACCATTGGCTGTGATTTGGGGACAGACAGGCTGTCCTGGGTTCAGTGCCAAGTGCCTGGGACCAGGAACTGGCCCCTTGGACTCGGGAAGGGCCGGCACGTTCCACTGGGTCTTTATCAGTTTCCTGCCTCTCTGGGAACAATCAGAGAGGAAGGGGCTTCCTCTGCCTGGGCAGGAAGGAGGGGAGCAGCCGCCCTGTTGGGGAGGGCAGCACTTGCTAGGTGGGAACCGATGCAGGCTTTCTCAGTGGAAGGGATTACCTGGCGCTTTCTCCAGGACTTGTTGGTATAGATTGATGGCCTCTTCATATTTCTGTTTTCTAAACATCAGGTCAGCCATCATCTATCAGAAAACATTCAAGGCTCTGAAATTCCTCAGAGCAGCTCTATGGGGGGAGGCAGGGATGTTGGGGAATGTTGGGACTGGTAAGGAGGGAAGGTACAGAGAGACTTCCAAGGCAGCCTCTTAGGCCCTGGGAGAAGCAGCCACTGCCTACAGCCCTCAGGCTGGGACCGGAAGGTGAAGATTGCAGAAGGTTCCTTCCTCTGCTCTGCAGGGGTTTGGCCTCTGCCCCTGGGGTTCTGGAGAAGGTCCAGGTGATAGGGAGGAGAGAGGCAGAACTGGGAGAGCTATTCCACACACTTCCTGGAGCCCCCAGACTCTGTCCCACCCTTGCCTTCACCTACAGAGGGTGTGGTTTCCTGGCCTGGAGAGAACCTCACCCCTTTCCCTTAGACTGGCCAGGAGGCTGCTGCCCCCTGCCGGCCAGCCCCACTCTCCCATGGAAAGGTCGAGTGCAGCAGGAGTTTTCTCTTGCTCCAAAGCCCCTCAGAGGTGGGCCAGAGAGGCATCTGAGCTTATGGAGCAAGGAAGCAGCCACCCACATCTCCTCGCAGGATCCCTGGGAGGGTGGGGAAGGGTCTCCAGGGCCTCCTACCACAGAGGCGCTCTCCTGGGTCTTCTCTGTCTGCAGGAGGGTAGTGCATTGCTGCTCACACAGGTCCAGGTGTCCCTGGAGCAGGTAGAGGTGTGCCAGCTCCAACAGTACCTGCAACAAGGTTGGGTACAATAAACCAACCAAGGAACACTGTGGGAAACCCGAGGTCGTCTTTGAAAGCTCTTTCCCCCACCCTTTCTATCAGCTCTGTCTTCTGAGCATGTCCCAAATCCTCTGGGGTGATGTCTCTGGCCCTCTCCTTCTCCCACCCAGCATTCCAGCCATGACATTGGTTTTACTCACAACACTGTAAGAGTTGGGGCCTGGCTACTCATCTGTCAGCTTCAGCTCCAAACTCATCCATCTAGGGAGCCCTCTGTGCCCTAGGTACCCTTCCTCTGCATCCCCATAGTGTCTGCATCCACATGCAGGTGCATATTACAGCTGTCTCATCATCTGTTCCCATTTCCTGACAGTAATCTGTGGGTAGTGACCACATCTTGATCCACCTTCTCCAAGCCTAGGACAGCACCTGGCATATATTAGGTACCTGTTAACTGAGCGAATATTAACTGAATGAATGGATCTCTTACTAAGCTCTGTATCTATTCTTAGCTTTTTTCTTTTCTTTTCTTTTTTTTTTTATACTGGGGATGGAACCAAGGGTGTTCTACCACTGAGCTACATCCCTAGTCTTATTTTTTTATTTTGAGACAGGTCTTGCTAAATTGCTTAGGACCTTGCTAAGTTGCTCAGGCTGGTCTCACACTTATGATCCTCCTGCCTCAGCCTTCTGAGTTGCAGGTATTGTAGTCATGCACTGTACCTGGCTTGTATCTATTCTTAGTTTGAACTCCAGCCACTGTGCCTTCATCTAGAACTAAACCCTCCCATGACCCTAAAACCAATTGGAAGTTTAGCCTGGGCTTCATGCCCAAGCAACACTGGCATCCACAACTCTCATCATCTCCCTGTCTCCAACAGAGGCTGGAAAATGTCACTCTAACATGACTTTTAGCAATGGCTTCCCCAGTCCAGCTTTGCTCCAAGAGTTGCAGCTGGGGAGGGCCCAGGTTGACTGGAGCAGTTGCCTCATCCCAGAGGCTGTGGCTGGCGGGGCTCTCACTCCCTTTGCATGGCAGCTCTTAAGAGAAGAAACCAGCCTCTGCACCTGGTCCGTGATCTCAGCATGGCATGCTGCCCTGACAGAAGAAGCAAGGTCTTGTTTTGGGGCCACTCACTTTATTGTCAATGGGTGAGTAGGAGAGGGCATCCTTATAAGAACGCACTGCCTTGGCATATTCCTTCTCTGCCAAGTAGTGCTCCCCAAACTGGATACAGATGAAGGCTGCCATTTGCTTCTGGGAGGGGATCATTTCTGGTTGCTCCAGTGGAATCCGCTTCAGTATCCGAGACTGGAGGTCCAAGGCCTAGGGAAACCAATAGTCAGGATCAGAAACTCAGAGCCCCAGTGTGCCAGTTCACAGAAAGTCCCAAGTCCTTATTTCAGAGCTAGCAATGTTAGGTAGGGCATCTCAAATATGCTTAGACTGTTAGAGCTAATAAATTCAGCGAAGTAGCAGGTTACAAAATAAACATACAAAAATAAATAGCTTTCCTATAATAATGAATCTGCTGACAAAGAAATCAAGAAAACAATTCCAAAAAGAAAGAAAGAAAAAGAAAAAACTACGAATAAGCCTTACCAAGGAAGTGGAAGACCCATAATAAAATGGTACAGCAGTAAAGAAAAAATTGAAGAAGACCTTAGAAGATGGGAAAAGACTTCCTATGTTCATGGATAGGCAGAATTAATTAATATTGTTAAAATGCCCATATTACCAAAAGCAATCTAATATTAAATGTAATCTCCATCAAAATACCAATGACATTCTTCACAGAACTACAAAAACCAGTCCTAAAATAAAAAATGCAGAATAATCAAAGCAATTCTAAGCCAAAAAGAGCAATGTTGGAGGTATCACAATACCTGACTACAGAGCTATAGTAATAAAAACTGCATGGTACTGGTACAAAAACAGACACATAGACCAGTGGTACAGAATAGAAGACACACAGACAAATCCACACATCTGCAGTTATCTGATCTTTGACAAAGGTGTCAAAAACACATTGGAGAAAAAGCAGTCTTTTAAACAAATGGTGCAGGGAAAACTGGTTATCCATATGTAGAAGAATAAAACTAGACCCTTATCTCTCATCTAGCCCAAAAATCAACTCCAAATGGAGGAAAGACCTTGAAATTAGACCAGAAACTATTCAACTTCTAGAAGAAAATATAGGGTCAATATTCCAACATATAGGCCCAGGCAATAACTTTCTCAATATCACCCCTAAAACTCAGGAAATAATGCCAAGAGTTAATAAATGGGAATGGCATCAAATTAAAAAGCTTCTGCACAGCAAAGGAAAACAATCAGGAATATGAAGAGGGAACTTACAAGATGGGAGAAAATCTTTGCTAGCTACTCTCTGACAGAAGATTAATATTTAGAATATAAAAATAACTAAAAAAATTTACACCAAAAATCAATCCAATTAATAAATGGGCAAATGAATTAAACAGATAATTCTCAAAAGAAGAAATACAAATGACCATCAAATACATGAAAAAACATTCAATATCATCAGCAATTAGGGAAATGAAAATGAAAACTACACTGAGATTTCATCACACATCAGTCAGAATGGCGGTCATCAAGAATACAAATAATAATAAATGGTGGAGAAGATGTGGAGAAAATGGAACACTTTTACATTGCTGGAGGGATTGTAAATTAGTACAACCATTAAGGAAATCAGTATGGAGGGTCCCAAAAAGACTAGGCATGGAATCACCATATGACTCAGCTATCCCACTCCTTGGTATTTATCCTGAAGAATTAAAGTCTTCTTACTACAGTGACACATGCGGACCCACGTTTATAGCAGCACAATTCAAAATAGCTGAACTATTGCAACAGACTAGGTGTTCATCAATGGATAAATGGATAAAGAGAATGTGGTATGTATACATAATGGAGTTTATTTAGTCATAAATAAAAATGAAATTATATCATTTGCAGGACAAAAGGTGGAACCAGAGACCATTATATAAAGTGAAATAAGTCAAACTCAGAAGGTCAACAGTTGTATGTTTTCTCTCATATGCAGAAGCTAGAGAATAAAAAAGAAAAGTGGGGGCAGAGCTCATGGAAATCAGAGCGATCAGTAAAGGAAAGGGACCAAGGGGTAGGAGAGATGGGAAGGGAGGGAGGAAATCCTAAGGAGTGATATTGGCTAAATTATATTATAATATTGTATGTATATATAACAAAAATCCCATCATTATGTACAGCTAATTAAAAAATGTGGAAAAAAGTTTAAAATTCACTTAATACACCTATCCTACTTGATAGCTTAGCAACATAGTACCCCCCATAGGGTATCAATTGTTTACCCTGGACATAAAGTGACTGTTGGGGAGCTGTGGCCTTCCTACCACTGTCCAGCATCCTAAGAGTACAGGACCATATCATGGCTAGCCTGAGAAAAGATAAAAATTTAAAGTCCAATTTCTACTTAATGCATAACACTTTCACACCATTCACAATTTCACAAAGTTGTAAGATTGCAAGTCAAGTCTTCCTAAGTCAGGGACATCCATACTTGACTTTGAGCAGATATCCTAACTTCTTTGAGCCTTATTTTTAGGTGGGAATGTGACAGTGCTTCACTGTGGAAATTAAAGAAGAAAGTAAATGGCCTAGTACAGAACCTAGCATAGAGCTTTCAATACATGGAAGCTACAGTCATTGTCATTACTATTATTGCCATTATTCCTGTAGACAGTCACCACCTTACCTTTGTCCTTCCCCAGCCCAGCCCAGAGAATGATCGCTGGGGAAATAAATGGAAGGTGAAGGTCAGAGGTGAAGCCCAGCCTCTCTTGAGAAAGAGGTCTGAGGCCTCCCAGATCTGAAGCCCTATCCTTCCTCCTTCTGTAGCCACTATTGGGAAATGGCAGAGAAAGAGCTTGAGTGTTCAGGGTTAATTACCTTGTTCAAAGTATCTACCACATCTTCTTTTTTATAGTTCTTGTAAACTTTTGCCAGCAGAAGCAAGCACTTAACATCATTCATCATGGATGGGAAGTCTTTGGCTGTGAAAAGAAAACTCAAATGAGTGCTCAGCGGTCCCTGGGAAGCTGGATTGGTGTTTAGAAGCCCAGGCAAAATGTGGGGAAGGACCAGGGGGCAGTATGCCCGCTCCACATATTTAGGGTGGGTTAGAATGCCGCCTCACCAAAGTCACGTCCCAGGGCCTGTTTCAAAACTTTTTCTGCTTTGTTGAACTTCTTTAGCTTCATGAGCAGTTCAGCCAGATCACAGCACAGAAAGTCCTGCCCACTAATCTTCTGGGCAGCCTCATAATAATTAATTGCCTTAGAGCAAACAGGAAATGAAGGCCTCAGGCCTCATTCTGCACTGGAGTGCCTGACACTACATACCGCTTGGTGGCCACCACATCCGTGTGCCCCTCCAGAATGCAGAAGCCTAAGAGGCAAAGGGCCTTCCAGCTGGCACAGGGCTCAGGCCTCAGCTGGAGCAGGCATGGGCTGCGGTGGGTGTCACTGACATCTCCCCTTATGTATCTTATCCCAAAGGGACATTGTGGGAGCAGGGAGCAGGGATGGGGGCTCAACCATCCCCCTCCAATCCAGAGCCCTCCACTCATGCACCCTTCCCTCCCCTCGCTGTTGGGAGGCCCATCCTGCGCCACCCCAGACCAGTCTGACCTTGGCATACTGGTGGGTCTTCACATAAGCTTGCCCAATCCTGCTGACCAAGGAGGCGTCGTGGGGGTTCTTCCTATAGGCCTCGTCATAGACCTCTAGGGCCTTTTCAGGCTGGTGGGGAAAGTAACCCAGAGTCTTATCTCTTCTCTCCAACTGGAGAAGTGAGACTGGGGGGCTATTTGGCAAGGCTGTGGGTCCCTCACTCACTTCCTGAATGTTCATGAAAGCATCACCAAGAAGCAGGCTGGTATGGGGGCCGGGCAGATGTTCACAGAGCTCCCTGCAGGAATAACCAAAAGCTTCTCTCAGGCCTGTGCATCCCTCATAGTCCTGAAGCCATCTCCTATTCTTTGCTACTGATTCTGGCTAATGCTCTTTCTTCTGCCAATAGTTACTGAGAATCCACCTGAGTATGAGGCACTGCGCTAGCTACCTTAGTCGGCTCTCCTTGCCTTATAGAAGTTTTTAGTCTTGTCTCTCTCTCCTTTCTGTCTCCCAATCTCTCTCTGTCTCTATCTTTGTGTGCCTATGGTCTGTCTGTCTTTCTCTGTGTGCTGGGGACAGAACCCAGGGCCTAGCACATGCTTGGCAAGCACTCTACCACTGAACTACATCTCCAGCCCCACAATGCTCTTTCTAAAACTCTCATCTGGGGCTGGGGAGGTAGCTCAGTTGGTAAAGTGCTTTCCTTACAGGCACAAGGCCCTGGGTTTGATCCCCAGCACCACCAAAATAAATAAATAAATAAAATAAGACTCTCATCTGACCAGACAGCCTCCTATTTATTCATTTCCCACTGCTGGGATGGTGAGAAAGGAGCCTGCTTAGCTTGGCGGTACAAGAACCCCCAACTGCTGGATGTCTCCCCACAACCCCTCAGCATTCCTCCCACCCACCACCCACCCCACACTCCTGAAATTGCCTAGAGTAATTTTTTTTTTTCTGAAGAAAAGTATTGGGAAGGAAGGTACCTCTGAGGTCCTGACACCAAGTCATACAAAGACAGAGGTTTGGGGCTCTCCATCCTCAACCACTCCACACTAGTCACATCCAAGTCACTGGATATATTCTCAAGGACAGGCAGAACCGGGGGTCAGGGAGGAAGTATGCTCCCATGGTTCCTTCTGTGTCTGCTCTAGCATCCAGGCCCACAGTTTACCACTAAAATGTGAACCATGCAAGGGTGTAGCGGGTCGGGAGGCAAGCAGGGCTAAGGGCCTATCAGTTCTGTGTCCTTAAGAGCTCATCTACAGTCAGGGCTTACTGACCTGAGGGAAATTCCATATTTTGGCCAATGCACTCCAAGAACGCATTCTGGAGATCCAGGTTGAAGGAAACACCCCCAGATACCATCAGAGGAGAATCTGTTACTATGCTGCTGCTGGGACTCACCGGTAGCATCCAATGTAGAGGCGGATGTCTTTGCGGGTATGCAGGTAGATGCTGGCCATCTTCTCCTTGGCTTCCATGTAGCAGGGCTGCTTGGGCGTGACGTTCCTCAGCATACTCAATGCCATGTCCACGTTGCCCTTGCTTAGGGCCAAGTCCACGTTGGCAATAGTGATGCGGATCTCCTCTGGTGTACCACTGAATTCATTAATGGCATCTTGCATGACCTTGGTGGCCTCATGCTAAAACATAGGAACCAAAATAGACAGACCCTCCATTTGGTGTCATCCACTACAGGTGGCCTGACAACACTTGAAATCTTCTGGGAAACTTAAAGCAATCACCATTCCCATTCTTTTCCTGGGAGAGGAATGAAACAGGAGTCTGAGCTGGGTTCAGCCAGGAGCAGACCTGCTACTGGAAAGTCAAGGAGCAGATACCCTTGGAGCAGCTTTGGAGGCAGGAGGAGAGAGACCTCCGAAGGTCCGTGGCCACTGTTCTTGGTGAGATGGTGAGACAGGAGCCTGCTTAGCTTGTGGGTACAGGAACTCCTAACTGTAAAAACCTGCCTGTTACCTCAAAATCAAGTTCCAATTCCCTCCTATGTGAGAACCATGGGCATGGTTTGTTGTATTTTCTTGCTCTTGGCCAAAGATATTTGAATGTTCTAGTAATCAGTACATAAAGGTCAACTGAGTTACTTTCTCTCTGCCTGTTTTTGGTGCTTTTTGCTTGGAATTCAACCTTCCCAGACATTTACGTCTCAAGCTCTACTTTCTGTTAGCCTGTATGTTTGTACCATCTTTTCCCTTTTAATTCATTTTAGTTTTTGGAGTGGCTTCCACTGCTTGCTTGCTTAAACCCCACTATGAAATCTCTTTTTTATTTGGTAGGTATATTTACTTAATTTCATTGTCATAGATATATGTTTTGGCCTTTTTGTCAATTTATTTTGTTTCCACTTTTTTTGGGGGGGGAGTACTGAGGATAGAAACCAGGGGTGCTGTACTACTGAGCCACATCCTGAGTCTTATTTATTTTTTTACTTTGAGACTTGAGAGGCTGAGGCAGGAGGATCGCAAGTTTGAGGCCAGTCTGGGCAACTTGGTGAGACCCTGTTTCAAAGTTACAAAATAAAAAGGGTTGGGGTGTGTGGCTCAGTGACAGAGCATCCCTGGGTTCAATTCCCAGTATAGCTAAAAAAGGAAATTTGTATGCTCCTATTATTCCCTACTTTCCCTTCCTATCCTCTCTCCCTGAACCTTTTCATGTGATGTCATAGTGAAACTATTGCTATTTTAATAGCTTTTATGTCAAGAATTTAGCTTTTATACTGGCTTAGTGTCAAAATTACCTGTTGTTTAAGTGTAATTAGATTTATTTAGTTTAGTTCTATGTTTAATTGGATTGAATTTTTATGCTATTATATCTCAAAAAATTTCCCCTGATCATAAAAATTTCATTTTATTTCATATTTTGATTGGTTGGATTATATCTACAAGTAGATTTTTCAGAAACATGAAGCTAACACTACATTGCTTGAGTTATTCCATTTTCTAGTGTCCTTTATTGCATTTATACATGAAAGACATCCTGAGGGATACCTTTCCATGCATTTATTAACGTTGTCTTATTGTTTTCCTGAATCCAGAATGGCTAAGAGTCTGAGGGGAACTTCTTTTTTTCACAGGGGTGAACTGCTCTCTGCCTAGATACTCACAAGAAGTTCCACTCACACTGTGAATCCTTGATTCTGCTATTTCCTTAGGGTGTTACTATGAAGACATTTCTTTGTCTTGATTTTGCTATAATTTCTCCAACATAAAGAGCCCAATTTGCTGGTTCACATCTTCCCTAAAAGAACTTGTCTCTTTTGTCTCTTATTACATCTTTGCTGCTTTTCCAGTTCCATTTTTTTTTTTTTTGGTATCAGGAATTGAACCCAGGGGCAATAACTACTGAGCAACATCCCCAGCCCTTTTTATTCTTTTATTTTGAGACAGGGTCTCGCTAAGTTGCTGAGGCTGGCTTTGAACTTCTGATCCTCCTGCCTCAGCCTCTGGGATATTACAGGCAGGTGACTCCACGTCCAGCTTGTTCTGCCTTCTTTAAGAATACAATGAAGCCTGTGTTGGCTGTTGCCTGTCTGATCTATCGTTCTCTCTTGCAAGGGCTAGAACTGGGTTCTTCCAGGAATGTCCCAGCTTTTCCTCAAGGACTCTGCACAACCCCAGTTTATCAAGGTTCAAAAAATGGAGGCATCTCCAGTCTCTCTGTGGCCATGATCCCCCCCCCGCCCCGCCCCTGAGAATTGGAAAGACAAGGGCCTGGATGGCTTGTCTTCCTATCATAGTGTCACTGGACACATTTTCAGCTGAATGAGTGACTAAATGAATAATTATTCTCGTGACCACCCCCAAACTCCTCTACTTTTAATTCTTTTGTTCCTCTTGGCACATTTGGAAGAAGGCAGTTTTTATCTTTTTCATTTTTTCCTTGTGATGTCAGGGATGGAACCCAGGGCCTTGTGCATGAAAGGTGAGCACTCTACCCTAGCCCAGTGATATTTTTATCTGTAAGGAAAAAAAGGCCTAGATCCTTCTCTAGATCAGAATCATTGCAGGAGAAGGCTAGAGGCCCCAGTATTCATGGATCACAGACATGGCCCTGGACAGACCTCTTCCTGTGAGCTGGTGAGGCCAGAGGCCTGTGAGGTCAAATGAACTTGCAGAGTCCAGCTCCCTCAAGGCCTTGTTCCTGCCTCTGTGTTCCCCATTGCTCCCAGGGACCAGCTGAGGATACCCAGGTGTTTTCTGCCTCTGTCCAGCCAGACCCTCCAAGGCCTTGGGGCTGCTTTATATGTTCAGCAGGTTGGGTACTGCAAAACTCCAAACAAAGAAGACACAGCGCATAAAAGATTGTGGTGTGACTGGTATCCACTGAATCTGTGCAATACCCAATCTGCACAACCATTGTTGGTGACCCTGTTGAGCCTGTGTGATCCGCCTCCCTGAGATTCTCATGGGGACATTAGGGTAGAGAGGGGCCAGGTCATGTAGGACCTAGTAGGGTCTGGACTTACTTCAAGGGCAATGGGAGCCACTAAAGCCTTTTAGGCAATGGGAGAGGCATGCTCCCAGCTGAATAAGGGACCAAATGCTAGCACCAGAAAACATCAAAGAATCAGAGAGCTGGTTCTCAGGTTGACCTGGGGCCTCCAACTTGCCCCAGTCCCAAGGGAAGAGAGTACAGCGTTGCTCACCAGCTCCCCATTCAGCCGGAGGGCATCTGCCAGTTCCAGCAGGATGGACACTCGCTCTCTGGGCGGCAAGGGGGACCCACGAAACTTCTTGCCTTCCTCCACCTTCACAGTTGGAAGTTTCATGATCATTTTCAGCGTCTTGATGGCCTCTGGATGGTCTCCAGATTTGTTGAGAGCCCTGGCCTTGATGAAGTGGTAGAGGGGGTGGTCTCGGACCTAAGAGGAACACAACAGAGAGTGGGGCTCCAGTTCACCACCGCTGCTGCTCACAGCAGCCACTGGAGAAAACCAGGGGAGCCAGAGCCAGGGAACTGCAGGCAGCAGAGGGTCTGAGGGATGCAGGTGGCTCCTGGGGTTGCCTCTCTCGAGAAAAGTGGGAGCTGTAGCTAACTTGGCTTTGGGATGCTGAGTGGGCAGCAGAGTACAGAGGACCCTCACCTGAAAGTTGTGGCTGACACCCAGCTCTAAGCTGTGGGAGCACATGGCAAAGTTGCCCTGAGCCAGGTGGATCTGGGACATGAGGAGGTGGGTATCCGCAGACGTGGGGTCCAGCTCCAGGCAACGCTGCAGGACGCTCTGGGCATTCTCCAGCTCCCCTAGAAACCAGAAACAAAGCTCTGAAAACAGGGGTTCCTGGGGATGGATTGTGCACTGTGGTTTTCTGGAAACACCCACACTGGGCATTTTACCCAGTTCTGCTCTGCTTCAGGGGGTCTCTTCCTAAAATTAAAACTATAGTTTTGCCTTGATCTGGACAAAAGCCAGGACAATTAAATCTAGGTCCAATACCCTCCTTGCCTCTGTGACCCTAAGGAGACTGCTAAGTCACTTTGCTGCTCCATCCAGAAGCTCAGGGGAAAATGGAAATCTCAGTTCCCATAACTAAGTGCAGAACAAAAACTATAACAGCAGCAACTATGATAGTCTCAGCTTACGAAGCACCTGCTCTATGTGCAACATGTGCAAATCACCTTGGAAAGTCTGATCTAACATCTGTGAGGCCCTGTAAGGTTGGTATTACCTGCAAGGTTGCTGCTAGAGATAGGACCCAGGGCTTCAAACACACTAAGCAGGTGCTCTGCCACTGAGCTACATCCCCAGCCCTGATCCTTGTCTTTCAGGTGTTGGAACTAGGGCTCCAGTGATGTTAGCCACTCAGCTCAAAGGGACAAAGACCACATTGAAGTGCAAACCCATCAGTCTCCTGAGCCAGACCTCTGAATCCCCTGGCACTAGGGGGCCAAGGGATCTCCTTGCAGCCAGGCTGGTGCTTATGGGGTGGTGGTGCCAGCCTGGGGCTGAGGTATAATGAGTTGGTAGGGAGCTTCCTCCCTCTGCAGCCAAGTCCCTCATCAGTCTCCCACCTGCAGTCCCTAACCTGCATGGGTAGGTAGGGTGTACCTGCTTCTGGATTCCAAGCACCCTACTCTCCTGTGTGCTGTGGAAATGGAAAGAGGTCACCATGGCAACCTAAGCACCTGGAGACTTTGCTTGGGCCCCAAACCAGCTGGGGCCAGCTGGTGGCTGCTAGCACTCCTGGGGGAGTGATTTTGCCCTGGACCAGAACCCAGGAGACCTTGAAGTTATGGGTAAATATGGCCACAGATGATCACGGGGGGGAACTAGGATGACAATGGGGAGCTCTCAGCAGAGTGCACCCCACATAATGTAGTACTGGAGGACAGATGCATGGTAGTACTGTGTTTTGGATCCTGTAGAACTCCCCAGACTAGATTGGCCTGGCTTTTGGGCAGACAGGATGGGATGAAAGGCCACATAATAACTTTGGAGATGGCTGTGTGCCCAGAGAGGACACCTATATAAATTGTCTCCCTCTCTTTCCTTCTCACTCTAGTGGCTGACCTTAGAGCTGGGGGGAAGCTGGCAGGCTGCTGATCTGTGCACCCAGGAGCTCTGAAAGCCTCATGGTACAGGACCCCACCTCTGCATGAGGCTTTCCTGACAACTCTTTTCACACTGATTCCCATTAACATCTTCTTCCTTCTTCCTTATTTTACTTTTCTCTGTTGCATGTCACATTCTAACAAACAACACCAGGTGCTCAGTTGTTCGTCTACTTCCTCTTACTAGAATGCAAGCTCCATAAGGAACCTTTTGTCTACTTGGAGTATTACTGTATCCCAGAAGTTCTTCAGTACTACCCGCATAGATCAAGTAAGTAATCTGCAAAAGGCCTGGGTAGGAGAGACCTCTGCTGGTGAGGGAGGCCAGGAAGGTTACTGGCAGACAAGGCTGGACTGAGTGGGCAGGCCAGGAGGGCAGGCTTTGTGTCTGCATGTATGCATACAGCATGAGTGTGCATGTGGATACAGCCGAGGTGGGGGGTACAGAAGCCCTGTCAGGTGTCCGAGCAGATAAAGAGATGTGAGAAGACACAGGCCCCACCCCCCAGCCTCCAGGACCTACCTGAAAGATACTTGACCTGAGCCATCACAAAGAGGGGTTCCATCATGGCTGGGACTGCTTTCACGACAGGACTCAAGATCACAGTGACTTGTTTAAGAAGTGGAGACAGGATCTGGCCTGGTGCCCTGGGCTACAAGAACATGAGTGGCTGGCTGTGTCATCTGCCCCATTCTAAGAGACTCCTGGAGCCCTGAGAAATGCTCTCAGTAGAGGAATTTACTTGCTTCCGTGGTTCCTTATTATCCCCCTGTATCACCTACTATTAGAGCACACACCAGAGAATGGGGACTTGTGTGCTGTGGAAATGGAAAGAGGTCACACCAGAGAATGTGCTGCTCACTGCTGTGTCCCCAGCACCTAAGAATGGTGTCTGGTTCAAGGCATTGCACTCAATGAATTTTTGTTGACTGATGCATTACAATGTACTGGGGAGGGGGTATTAAGATTTGTGAAAACGTGGTCCTTGCCCACAAGGAATCCTGCATGGCAGGGAAAGCAGGTTGAATGAGCACACACTAACATGGTTCTTAGAAGCCTTCTGGGGAGAGGGGAGCCAAATGCTGTCTAGGACACAGCAGGTGCATGGCCAGTGTCCTGCTCCTCCAGGAGTGTTCCCCTGAATCAGCTGCCTCAGCATCCCTGGGAGCCTGTTAGAGATGCAGGACTTTGGACCTCACCTGTAACCTCAGAATCTGCACTGGAACAACCTCCTGGGTGAGTTGGGAGCCACATGTCCACATTTGAAAAATTCTGATTGCCCAAGGCTCAGACTGTCCTGATGACTGGACAGGTGAGGTCCCTCCCCTGTCCTTCAGGTGGGCACCACCCACACTTGTACTCTGGCCCCCATGGTGAAGATGGGCCTTCCCCTAACCTGCTTGGGGCAGAAATGCAAGTATTCCTTGGCGATGCAGACCAGGAAGAGGGGGTCTAGCTGTTCGAGGTACTCGGGGCCCAGGGGCAGGCCCTGCATGCTGGAGAAGTGCAGCTCCACTGCCTCCTTCAGAAGCGCCGTGGCCTCCTGCTCCCCCTTATGCTTCTTGGATGCCAAAAGGGCTTGGAGGAAAACCAGCAACTGTGGGAGAGAGAGCCTGAGTCTCAGCCAATGCCAGCCTGGGCAGAGTTCTTAGGGAGGGCAAAGCAGAGGTCCAGGCCATTCTGGCTGCCCTCTATAAACTGGGGATGGAAGGAGAGCCAGAGAGGCAGCCCTGGAGCATGCCATGCCTCTGGGGAGCTCTGACCTCAGACTTCCCGAGGGACTGCTGCACCTCCTTCAGGAATTCCAGCTGGTGCTCAGCCTCTTCCAGGTGGCCTTTTAAGATCTGGCACCAGATGATTCCTGTTAATAGGACAGAACAAGGATGAGCAGCCAGCTCGGAAGCAGAGCCAGCAGAACATCTGGTCAAAAGGCTTGAAAGAGACAGTGGAAGGGGGGCTCTTTGAGGCAGGGGATCTTTTCCAACACCCTCACCAGTTTAAGAGCAACACGTCCTCATGGGAAAGAACTGAAATGATAAGGCAATAATAGAAAAACATCCTCAGCTCTGCCTTTAAGACTCTCTCTAGTGATAACCACAATTAGCAATTTGGGATGTATTCTTTTTTTAAATATATATATGTTTTAGTTGTCAATGGACCTTTATTTTATTTATTGAAACATGGTGCTGAGAATCGAACCCAGTGCCTCACACATGCTAAGCAAGCGCTCTGCCACTGAGCTACAGCCCCAGCCCTGGGATGTATTCTTTAAAGTATTTTTCTAAATATTTATTATTAATGTATACATATATGCACAACTCAAACATATGCATTTTGGGGGCTCAGGGTATGGCTCAGTGATACAGCACTTGCCTAGAATGCAGGAGGCCCTGGGTTTGATCTCTAGCCTTGCAAAATCCAACAAAGAAAAAAATCCAAAAAATTGAATTTATTGTTGAGTGTAGTATATGATGGTGACTTACTTTTATGTCTTTCATAATGGAAAGCCAGATGCCCAACCAGAAATTACTGGACAACTTACCAGTTTGAAATCAGGCCTGTGTGTCCCATTTGTCTGTTTGTCTATTCTAGTCAGTGCTGACCTCGAGCTGACTTCACTACTGTTGTCTTGTGATACGGGTATTTTTTTTTTTTTCAGGGATAGGGCTAGATCACAGAGTCTCAGGCATGCTAGGCAAGCACTCCACAGCTACATCCCACAGCCTTTTTCATTTTATTTTGAGACAGAGTCTCACTAAATTGCCCAGGGAGGTTTCAAACTTGGCGATCCTCCTGCCTCAGCTGAGATTACAGGCCTTCACTACCATGCTTGGCTTGTGATATATTTGATGTTAGAAGGACAAACTTCTCTTTCCCTGCTATTCTTTTTTTCCAAATATTTCCTGGACATTCTGGTGTATTTGTTCAGGTTGGCTTTCCTAAACACCCTCTCGGTTTTCAATTCTAGTCAGCTCACTACTTGGCCTGTTTGAGGAATTTTTCATTTTGCCACGATGTTAATTTTTTTAAAAATATTTTTTAGTTATAGTTGGGCACAATATACCTTTATTTTATTTGTTTATTTTTATGTGGTGCCGAGGGTTGAATCTGGTGCCTCGCACGTGCTAGGCGAGCACTCAACCCCTGAGCCACAACCCCAGCCCCTACGATGTTAATTTTTGGCAACTCTCTTTTGGTTCTCTATACCCTTCTCAGAATAGTGTGTTCTTTATTTATTGACAACCACCACCTCTCCAAACACTGAAGGCATTTTGGGGGGATAGGCCCTTCTGTATCAAGCCCTAACTTGGCTCCTCAGATGGCCCCCACTTTGCATGTTCCACTCTAGGCCTCTTTCAGACTAGCAGATTTATACACAGGACCAGACTAATGAGGATTAGCTGCTGGGCAGACTTCCAAATTGTTAAGGTCACTGACTTTTCCAGACAGGCCAGGAAAGTCAGCGATTCCAGGACACCTGTGAGTGAGTGAGCAGGACCTTCTGACCATGCACTTCCCTCTGGCTGCCTGCTGGGGCGCTCCCTTGATTGAAGAACTGGGGAGGAACTCAGCCTGCTGGAGGACTGTTAGTGCCCAGCAGCCAAGTCTTTTTGTCCTTCATGGCCCTGGTGATGAGTGGAAAGCCTCTGGAGCACCACTCTTCTCCCTTCTGCCCCAACACCCAACAAGAGCCTCTTTGATTCCAGGCTCTGGATGGAGAATGGTTCCAATGATCCTCCCTTTACCTCCCTGACTGCTCCATGGGATGCTTTTGCACTCAGCCTCTGGTGGCCCTGAGCTTGAGCTTTTTTTGGTGGTAGTGTTTTTCCTGGAACTCTCTGGGGAAAGCTGGTCTACTAATTTCTTTAGCTGACTTAGCTCTGCTTACGCTCACACACAGGTTTGTAGACCTGCTTGGAATCTGCATATTTGATGCCATTTGCCCTATATCATATAGAAATGTGATGATCTTCAAATTTCTTGTCCCCTAGAGGCATCTCTCCCTGTTTCTAGGGCTGCAATAGGCTCATTATCTTTTTAAATGTCTCATTTTTGGGGGGATGGAGGAGAGGCATGGATTTGAGGGGCTAGCCTGACACATTAAACCAGAAGTCAAGATCAACTACTCTGACAACTGTGCTGTGCAGATGAGAAGCTTGCAGGTGAGAGAGAAATGACTTGCCCTCAAACACACAGCTCCTGAGGGCCAAGCTGAGAACCAGCCGCCTTGAGCAGGGGACCACTAAGCTTCTTCACCTACACCGAACACTGCTGCTTCAGAATTCATAGAGACCACGGAGCTGGGGCTTTTTTAAAAAAATGTGTAAAATGAGGGCTGGGGTTGTGGCTCAGAGGTACAGCACTCGCCTAGCAAGCGTGAGGCCCTAGGTTCCATCCTCAACACCAAATAAAAATAAGTAAAATACGGGACTGGGGTTATGGCTCACTGGTGGAGCACTTGCCTAGCACATGTGAGGCCCTGGCTTCAATCCTCAGCACCACATAAAAACAATAAATGTATTGTGTTCATCTACAACTAAAAATTTTAAAAAATAAGTAAAATAAAGGTATTGTGTCCAACTACAACTAAAAATAAATAAATAAATTTTTAAAAAAAAATATGTGAAATGAAAAAAGCATCTGCGCAGACGGGGAAGTAAAATTCTTAAAACTCTCTCACTGGTGGCCTTCCAGCTCAGGGACCTCCGTAAGCAGAACATCTCAACACTGGGCTGTGGGCCCTGAAAAGAGGCAGAGCCATCAAGAAGGAGGTTCAGGCCATCAGTCTTCCAGGACACCCAGGGTGTGGGTACTAGGGACTGGCATGGATCAGAGTGGCTCTGATGACACTCCTGAGCCTTCCCCTGCCTCTTACATCAACACTGTATGTCCATGGAAAAGTACCCCATCAGACACTCACACATCTCCTGGGTGAATGCTTCCCAGCACCTCTTTTCTGGGCCCATGGAGGCCACCCTGTTCGGATCTCCCACTCTCCCACCCCCTCTCCCACCCCACTCCCCGCCCAGCCTGCAGAGACCTGTCAAGGCAGCCATGCTGTTCTCATCCAGTTTCATGGCCTCCGAGTACCACAGAAATGCCTCCTTCACTTGGTTCTGCAGGATGAAGAGGTAGCCCAGCTCTGTGGCCACAGGGGCACAGGAGGGGGAGGCCAAGAAGATGCGTTCAATGAAGCTACTCACTAGCTGCAGAATCACCCGGTGGTTCCCACACTGCAAGGAAGAGGCATATGGGAAATGGGAGAGCAGTTAGTCCATCCTGCGTGAGCAAGGCCATGTCAAGTACCGGGGACACTGTGGCAAGGCTGGGTAGGCTCAAGAGAGCTCAGAGAGGTGCCCTGTGTCTAGGCAGCTGAGTTAATGGAGCCGTCCATCTCCCAAAAGACCTTCCATGGGCCACCTCTGTAGGACCTGCCTCCACCACAGGGTTTCCCAAGGGATCCATTCCCTGTCTGGCTGCAGTTAATTGGTACAAGGAGTCACCAAGAGGTTCTTAAAAAAACTGAAGCTGGGGGAGAAGAGGCTCTTTGTGTCCAGTGGTGGAAATTGGTCTCAAAGGCCACAATTTGCCATGTTCCCTATCATGTATGGAGGAGAATAAGCCCGAGAGAATCAGATGCACAGGTAGAGGGGAAAATGGTGACCCAGAGGCATTTAGCAACTCAGTTCTGTTTCCTGAGGCCTCAGAGCTGCCCTTGTAGTTACAATTTCTTCTCATCCTGTAGCAGCTGATAAAAGACACAGATTCTTTGGTGACTTGGTCTATTTGGAACTTCTCTGATGTCAGAGAGGACTAGGCAGGCCAGCCTTCCCAGGTTCCTTCCATAGAAGGGGTATGGGCGCTGGGCCAGAGGTGGTGTGGCTCTGCACAGTAGCTGCAATGCAACCCTCTGTCCCCAGAAGGATGCTGCCACTCAAAAATCACTTTGGACCCCATCTCCCTGATCTTCTTTGCATCGCTGGGGCACCCGGACCAAGGGGACAGACAGAGCCTACATGTCAGGTTAGCAGTCACAGTCCACCAGCCTGAAAGGCCAAGTTTGAGCTGGAGGGGGAGTGGTAGGGTGCCCAGAGAGCTTCAGTGGAAGCCTGGATTTCCATGAAAAGCAGAGACAGATACCATTTTACAAACCAGGAGACAACCTTCTTACCAGTCTGTTAATCACAATAATTTTTTTAAGGTGGAGACTTGGATTTTGGGGCTCTCTCATTTCTAACACTTTAATCAGATTTCTGACGTGATCAGCAGCCTGTGGCGACAAAACAGACAATGTTGAAGGCAACATGTAAAACTAGAGCAGTGATTCTTGAACCTGGCTGCACATTCACATCAACTGGGAGACTCAATACCCATGTCCTGGCACCACCCCAGAGATTCAGAAGTAACTGGACTGGGATGGCCCAGGCACAGAATTATTTCAAAGTCCCACAGATGGAGACTTAGGGTACATTACTGCCCCAAGAGCTGCTTGCTCCTCTGCCCTGAGTTTGTGAGGAGAAGTTGCCCTGTTAGTCCCACAGAGAAAGAAGCAGGGCCATCTTGCTGTGGCCACTTCACAGCATGCCAGACCCACAGCAAACCACCTGGGTGGGCCCAGACCCTCTCCATTTTGACATGAGTCACCACATTGGTGCCTGTCCAGTGAACCCTCCAAACAACCCTGTAAGTCACAGCCACTACTCTCCAAACTTTCCAGTATAGCAGATGAAAGGTCAGAAAGGTTGGGCAATTGGTCTGAGGCTGCTCAGCCAGCCAAGGGACTGACTTAATCTAAAGCTTTTCCATTGAGTTCCCCACCCAGGAGTTCTCAACTGCAAAGATGTACTAAAAGAGAAACCTGAGATGGCATGAGTTCACTCTGGTGGGTGAGCATGGCAGGACTAGAACTGGGCAGCTGGTGGGGGAGAAGGGCAGATCCCAGGGTTTGAGGTGGGGGTAAAGGAGAGACACTAGGTGCTAACTCTGCCCTTGGGATCAACCCTCAGGCCAGGACCTGGAAAGAAGCAGAGTAGAGTCCTGTTCCTGCCCAGGTGGCATTTCCTCCTGCTTCCACACCTGTAATACCAGTGGCTCTGGAGGCAGAGGCAGGAGGATCGCAAGTTCAAAGCCAGCCTCAGCAAAAGTGAAGTGCTAAGCAACTCAGTGAGACCCTGTCTCTAAATAAAATACAAAATAGGGCTGGGGATGTCATTCAGTGGTCAGTTCAATCCCCAGTAAAAACACAATGTTTGGGGTGAAAACTCAAACTCTTTTTGAAATTAAGACTCTGTTTGAGCATTGCATTTTATTCATATTCTAGTCACTTTTGACCACATTTAAGGGCTAATTTAGGTTTCTGGGGGAAAATATAACGCTTAGGAACAGGTTGAGTCCTAACCATTGTTTGAGTAATTCCAACCAGACCTTAAAAAGATGGCATTTCCTAAACTCTGAAACCATACCATGACTTATACTAGCAGTTAACATGAATCAAATTATTCCTGTATACCAGGCACTGTTCTGAACTTTCTCACTTCTCATCTCAGTCCTTTGAATAACTTCTCAGCTCTGCAGAATTGTGTCATTTTATAAATGAGGTGGTTGAAGCTTTCCCAAGGTGGAGATACCTTCCCAACCTCCCATAGGTAGCAGGTGGCAGGACAGTGTCAACCTCACTGCCCAAAGCTGCCTTACTCTTAAGACGTCCAGCCCAAAGAGTCAAACCAGAGCAGACCCTCTTGGCAGGAATTATGGGAATAGGTTGGGGAGAAGGCTGCTGAGACACAAGAGGCATCCTTCAGGACTGTGGGGTGGTGATGGGGTGGGTCATAAGGGGTTCCTCCTTGTCTGTCTCAAGGATCAACTTCTAAGTCTTGAAACAACTTACTATGGTCATGTTTCCTTCTCTTGCAAGTTCATGCACAGCTAGTAACTGACAGGCATCAATATTGCTTTCATCTTTTTCAAGGATTCTGAAACAGGAGGAAAAACCACATGAATAGAGATTATTGGCAACTTCTGATCATCTTCTAGTATCCATTCTTTTTTTTTTCTTTCTTTTTTTTTTCAGTACTGGGTATTAAACAGGCACCTTACCACCAAACTACATCCCTGGTCCTTATTATTTTTGTTTTGAGACTGGGTCTCAGAAAGTGGCTGAGACTGGCCTTGAACTTGAGATCCTTCTGCCTCAGCCGCTGGAGTTGCTGGGATTATAGGCATTAATTGCTGTGCCTTGCAAATTTCTTTTGTCTATTTTGGAAGTACTGGGGATGGAACTCACAGCCTCCTACATGCTAGGCAAGTGCTCTACCACTGAGCTACATCCCTGGCTTCTTTATTCATAATAGAACTCCCAAACTAGCCAGGCACATGGCTACAGAATAAAGACTACACTTCCCAGGGTTCCTATGCAGCTGAGATGTGTGGCCATGTGGCTAATTTTTGGCCAACAGGATATAAGTGAAAGTGATGTGTGTGGTACCTAGGTGTGCTCTGGTAGCAGGCCTTCCCTTTCTGCTCTTTCCCCCTCCCTGTTATCTGGATTGAGGACCGAGTGGACACCACCCTAGGAATGGTAGGGCAGCCAGAGAGGAGGCCCTGGTGTCCAACAAAGTCGCTCCATCCCTGCCATGAACCCTTATCCAAGCTTTCACGAGAGAGAGAGAGAGAGAGAGAGAGAGAGAGAGAGAGAGAGAGAGAGAGAGAAATCACCTGTTATGGTATGTGTGTATTTGAGGGTGTGTTTGTTATAGAAACGTACTCATTCCTGACTAACTAAATCTGACCTTGGTACCACGTTCTGAAGTGCGGGGGCAGCTGTGGTTAAGATGGAAAGGGAACCTTGGATTCAGTCATGCGTCCTTGTGAAGGTGCAGCTTATGATCATACTGTGGGAACTTTGATATTCTGTTACTTTATAGAAAACTTCATATTTTTCAGCCTAGTCAAGGAATGACCTTCTATTTAATTGAGGGTTACCCAAATTATACAAAATTCCAATATGATTGGGCATAACCAACATTCACAGAGTTCTGACCAACTGATGATTCTGAATGCATGCAAACTGTATGCATTTGGAAGTTTAAAAAGAAAACAACACACTCTTAAATAACTTATGAACAGAAGGAGAATCAGATGATTGTTAGAAGCAAATGATACTGAAAATTCTACACATCCAACCGTGTAGATATTTTTTTTCTTTTTTTGTCAGTGTTAGGGATTGAACTCAGGGGCACTTACCCACTGAGCCATATCCCCAGACCATTTTTGTATTTAATTTAGAGACAGGGTCTTGCTGAGTTGCTTAGGGCCTTACTAAGTTGCTGAGGCTGACTTTGAATTTGCAATCCTCCTGCCTCAGCCTCTGAGCTGCTGGGATTACAGGCATGCCCCACCACATCCAGCTGTATAGACATTCTAAAATGGTACTTTGAGGGACATCCATAGACTAATTTATGTATTCTAAGGTATGACTAAAAAAGGATGAGTCAGGCATCTAATTCAGGAGTTAGAAAGTAACAACAGAGTAACTCTAAAGGACACTGTTGGCAGGAAATAATAATGAACAGAAAAAAAAATAACTGAAAAAACAAAGATATAACAGGATCTAGATGGTTCTTTAACAAGACTAATAAAAGAGACAAGCTATTTTAAGGTTGATGAAGAAAAAAAAAGAATCAAAGAAAAATAAATACTATAAGGGATGACAGGAAACACACCTAGATGAAGTAGAGTTTTAAAAAACAATGAAAGCCAGGTGCGGTGACACACACCTGTAATCCCAGCAGCTAGGGAGCCTGAGGCAGGAGGATCACGAGTTCAAAGCCAGCCTGAGCAATTTAGCGAGGCCCTAAGCGACTCAATGAGACCTTGTCCCTAAATAAAATACAAAAGGGCTGGGGATGTGGCTCAGTGTTGAGTGCCCTAAGTTCAATCCCTGGTACCAAAAAAAACCAAAAACGTTAAATTAAAAACAATGAGAGAGGGGGCTGGGGTTGTGGCTCAGCTTTCCTAGCATGTTCGAGGCACTGGGCTTGATCATCTCCAACACATAAAAATAAATAAGATAAATAAGGTATTATGTCCAACTATAATTAAAAAAAAAAAATATATATATAAACAATGAGAGAATTCTATGAATACCACCAGCTGGGAAAGCTATGGGGGATGGCGCCTGGGTATTGGACTCAACCTGTGGTATCGGACTGTCTCCCACTCTTAGCACACAAGGCCAGGGTGAGGGAGTCCACACCTACTCCCTCCCCTAGTCTGGCCTTCAGCCAGGTGCTTCCAGATAAGCTGTTGGCCCAAGGCCAAGCCACCAAAGCAAATTCTTGCCAAGATACTGGCCATGTCTACACCATGAGAGAGCTGAGGGTCCACACAGGCATTGTACTGTGGCACCTGTGCCACTCTTTGATTGGCTGCCAGCACCTTTCTAAAACTCAAATTCTAGTCATCATCAGGGTCAGCACCTTCCAAAGGGCAGGAGGAGGCTTGATGGCCTTTCTTTTTTTTCCTAGAACTGTGCTTTATATTACCACCATTAAAATTCTTATCTCAAAGATACCGGCAACCATTCCCCCTTAATTTTTTTTATTGAAGTACAGCATGCCCATAGTTTTAAAAAATTAAATAATGCAATTGTCCCACATTCCACCCTTCAGCCATGCCTCATAGCCACTATTTTCTACCCTGTAACTCACGTTGCCTTGGGTCCTTTGGGTGGACCCCTTCACATCTCTTGCACCTTGATTCCTTGATTTATTCACCTCAGGCCACAGCCCCTGGCCTTAGGCTGGATGGCTATGTATTTAGTTTGCTTACCCCAGTCTTCCCTGTCCTTCGCCTTCCAATATGATCCCATCACTATTCCCAACTCTACTGTGGGTGGTATTTACCTTCCTGCTTCACCTTCTTGTAAGATGGGAGCATATCTGAGGCTTGTGAAGGAAGTTGTGAAAGTGAGCTCTTCCTCTCACCTGTGCCCTGTTTCTATTGCCTGTTCCCAGTCCTGCCGAGCCAAGAACAGGCGCATCTTCAGGATGAGGGCGGGCAGAAAGTTCCCAGAGGCCAGAGTGATCTGGTTCACCACTTCCAGGGCCCCTGAGTAGTTCTGCTGCATCATTAAGTATGTTGCCTGTGGGAAGCCAGAGAGAAGAGCCTCGGGTCAGTGAGGCAGGTGTCAGTGACGCCACCAAGATAGGATGGAGCCTGAGGGACCTACAGGGGAGTGTAGTCCTCTCTGTTAGGCCAGTGAGTCCTCAGGCCTGGCCCAGGGGGACAGCCGCTAAGAGTATCTTGGGAAAGAAGTTGTCACTCACAGCAGTGACAATGGTCCTAGGTTCCAGGACAGGCAAGACAGAGGGGCTCCCAGGAGGCAGCTAAGCCCTGAGCTTGGGAAACTCCACAGGTCTGGCAGAGGGCACAGCTGTGGGAGGTTCACCCCAAGAGCTAAGGTCATGAGCATTTTGCAGTTCTACAAATTGCCCATTCATTCCTGAATTTGCTGTCCTGAGTTTCATCATTGGGATGTGCTCACTGAGGCCCAGTTCGCAACTTGGAGTTGGTTAAGGTTTGTGGGCACCTCCCTCAGTGGCAAGGCTGTGGAGGGTATTAAGTCCTGTTGGATTGGGGTCAGGGCCTCTGCAGGCCAGCACCAGCCATCAGGTTCTCCTGGAAGACTCATGGCAGGTGTCCTGAGGGCCACAGGGCAAAGCTTCTGAAAGAGTTGAAATTGGACTCTGAAAGTTTGGCTTAATTGAGACTCACAGCACCTCTCCCTTAAGAAACTTCTCACTAAAACCAAGAGAGGATTATTCTGAATAAGGAAGCGTGTTCATGTGCTCACTGCAGTGCTTCTATGTGGAGGCCTGGAAACCATCTCAATATCCAAACAAAAGGGAACAGGGTTGGTAAATTACATTATGCTCGTACAAGGGGGAGTGGCTTGACATAGAAGTTCAAAATGACATTTGCTTATGACAGAATATTACAGGGAGAAAAAGAAACTCATGAGCATACGCCCTAGGATTATCAGGGCAGGGGTTGGCTGAGGTCTTGGCTGTTGCTGCCCCACCCCCCACCCCTGTCCCCCACCCCAGGGGGTGGCCTCTAGGGTGCTCCCTGATAAACCTCCACTGTTCCTGCTGCCCAGGACGCAACCTGGGGCACACCCTAATCCAAGCACAGAAGGAGGCCTTGCAGTGGTAGTGCAAAGCGTGTCTCCTTGTCATCTCCTGTCAGAGCTCCAGGTTTGTTTTTTGTGGGTTTTGTTTTCTGGTGCTAGGGATGGACGCCAGGGCCACTCTACTCCTGAGCCACACCCCCAAGCCTTTTTATTTTAATTTTTGAGACAACATCTCCCTGAGTTGCCCAGGCTGGCCTCAACATTAAGATTCTCCTGCTTCAGCTTCCCGAGTAGCTGGGATTATAGGAGTGAGCCACTGAGCCCAGGTTTGGACTTCTGTTTTTTTTTTAATTAAGTGAGTAATTCTTCATTTCATAAGGACAATGTGTACAAACAGAAGAGAATAAGATGGCAGTGTTTTTTCCCTCAAAGATTGAGTCAATGAGGGTCATGAGAGAAAAAAAGAAACAAATTAATACCAGAAAAAGCAAACATATAGAATAGATACTTCTCGATATAAAACTACTAGGTGACTAACAGGTGGGATGAGAAAGGGTGACATAAGAAGAGTGAAAGAAGCAGGTGGAGAAAAGAGGCAGTGAGCGAAACCAAACAAGAAGTAGAGGAAGCGAGCCTGAGTGAGCCCAGGGAAAGTGACCCGGAAAGTGACCCTGAGAAGACACCCAAGCAGAATGACTGACGCTCACATGGAGCAGGAAGGAGTTCGAGATCATGGAGTGGGCCCTGGGCTACTGTGTGACCCTAGACTGGTCACCAGCCTTCTCTGGGTCTCTGCTCCTCAGCCACCAGATGAGGCATCTAGAGACGGAGGGTCTGGCCTGAGGTCACCTGGTAGGTCTCTGGTTCTAGGAGACAAGCCAGGGATACTGCCCTCTGCCTACCTTTCCCATCAGCCCCAGCACATCTTTGGTGTCCCGAATTCCTTGCTCCAGGTACTTGATGGATTTCTTCACAATGTGAGGTTTATCCGAGGTGAGTTCTACCCAGCCTTTGAGCACGTAGCCCTGGGTGAGAACAAGAGGAAAGATGAAGTCCTTGGTCCCATGGAGCCTCGACCTAGCCTGCTTGTGTCCTGCAGTCCTCTTGCCTGCCTTGCCATCATCTGATGACTTTACACTGGGGCCAGGCCCCATCACAGGGGCATGGGCGGGGCCAACTCTTGGTCCTTCTACTCCTTAGACCAGCCAGGGCCTGGCCATGCATAGAAAGCCTGGGAGTGCCCACGGTATGGGTGAGTAAGAGCCATAGTGACCTCAGGGGGACCTTATTTGTTCCCATCAGCCTTCACTCAGCCTCTCCTTGGCAGATGGGGAGGTCAAGCAGGGGAAGCAGAATTGGAGGGGCACTTGGAAGAACCCTGTCTTGAAGCATCCCTCGATGGCCTGGCCTCGTGTTTCTCTCTTACCATTTTCTCTCTCCTCAGCAGCCTTTTTTGGATGACCCCCCCCCCATCCTCTAAGAAATGTTAATATCATAAATACACCATATCTGTGTTTTGTGTTCTATAAGATATTTGTTTTATACATAGAGTAAGATTTTTTTCATTCTCATCTCCTAAGAACCAATGTTCACATCCTTGAAAACTTGTATCAATCCCACTCAGAATGAGAGGCCTAGACGAGACTTTGAAATCCACCATTGGCACAGACATACTGCATAAGCCACAGGCTGTGGGTAGGCGCCACCACTCGTATCTAGTGAATAGATGCAGGCAGGGAATAGCTGTAGCCAGTTCATTGGGATTTTCAAAAGAACCAAGAAATCTGGACTTGATTTCTAAATAATCAGTAACGTGGATGGTTACTGGGGTCAGTGTCAGTGCCCCAGCTCCAGGGCCCTCAAAGGGAATAAAGGGCCAGCCTGCTGTGATGTGTTTCGATGCTCACTTTTTGCTGTTGCCTAATGATGCTCAGGGTAAGTACCTCTCTGGAGCTGTGGGAGACCTTCAGAAAGTGGTCGATATACTCCTTGGCCTTGTCGTGGTAGCCCATGAGCCAGAGGAAGAGGCTAGCATAGTACAGGGCTGTCTCAGGGGCTGTCCTGCGTATTTCCTTCAGGCTGCTCTCCAGCTCCTGAATTGCTTCTCGATCTATAAATCCAAAGTGGAGGAAGAGGCTGAGTTAGGATGAGGAGGCATACCTGTGTTGCAGGGGTCACTAGGGGCCCAGGGAGCTGCCCCTGGACATTCTGGATCTGCCTCTATGTATGCAGCTGATTATGGGCCAACCTAGGGCCTGGGAACTAGCCATGCCAGCCACTGAAAATGCCCAGCCTAGGAGTCAGATTTTGCTCTCTGACATTTATCTTTTTTGCTCTGGACCCAGCACAGTGTGTTGAGTAGACAGACCAAACCTGAATCTTTGGCCTTAGGCCCACAAAACACTTTGGGTGGGAAAATGGCAATTTTTAGCCCCTCCAGGAATCTCTTCCTGACTCCAGAGTGGTGGAGACTAGTTTTTTTTTGGTGGTACTGAGAATTGAGCCCAAGGCCTTGCTCATGCTAGGCAAGTGCTCTACTGGCTGAGTTACATCCCTATCCCTATTGGCTCGATTTTTCTGACAGGATCTCACAGAGCAAAGGAAAGAAGGGTGCTTCTTCAACTCTTGGGACCTAGAGGAAGGACCCTTCCCACCGTCATGTTCTCTGCCTCTTCCCACCCAATGGTGCCCAGGCCTGGCATCTTCTCTGAGGCTTCTAAATGAAGACTGCAGCATCCCCTCCTTGCTGACCAGCAGTAGCTAGCTGCTCAGGCACCCTTGAGGGGTGGTGTCTCTGGAATGGGCTTCCTTCCCTGCCAGGCCAAGCCCTGCTGATTGTGGCTATACTCACCAATGGTTTCACAGCTTTTGTGAGCATAAAGGAGGGCCATGATGGAGCAAAGGGATGTGTCTGGGTGATTCCGGATGCTCTCCAGGTCACTGATGGCATCCTGGATGCGCTCTGCAAAGAGAGTCCACATGATTATGCTTTCAAACTCCAAGCCTGAAAGGCAGGAGACTCTGGAAGATGCCCAGAATCCCTATCAGGGCTGACGGACCCATGGCTTAGCTCCACCTGCCTTTACTTGGAATTTGAAGACTAACTGGTCTGAAAGGTTCCTGGTGGCCTGAGTTCCCTGGTGACTGAAGCTCCTGAAAAGGCTGCCTGTACCATGGTCCAGGCTGCCAGGGGCAGGAAAGTCTTGGAGCTGAAAGGTGGCCTGCAAGCACTTGTGTAGGATACTTGCAAGGCTGGGACTATTGGCTGGGGGTCAGTTCTAAGGAAGGACCTCAAGCAGGGCATTCTCCGATAGCTGCTCAAGACTACCAATTACATTTATCCTTTATGTTCCCTGACACTGGCAGCTCTGCCAGCCCTCAGCCAGGACCATTTCCAGAATATCGGTGAATTGCTTCTAGGCCTTTTGGATAAGATCAAGTGCAGAATGTCAGCAAAGTCAGCACTGCTCCTGCCTATGCTCACCCACACCTGCCACTTCCTCCTTCTTTTCCTGCACAACTGGCTCTCAGTTTCCAAGCCTAGAATTAGATCAATAGTCATACACTTGTCTCTCCAACCACACATTCTGCAGATAGGGAAACTGGGATGCATAGCAGGATAGTGAGCCCTTTGAGGTCTCAAGCCCTTTGAGGTCTCAAGATATGGATTATATATGTTTTTGTGGATTAACCTGGAAAACTCAGTGTTACAGTCAGTGAAAGACTGTTTCCATGGAAACATAACTAGGATATAAGTAGGCATCCAGGTGTTGGCCATAGTGATGGAGCTGGGCTAGTGCCTGGCATCAGAATGCCAACATTGCTAAGACCTTACCTTCTCTGAGGACTCCATAGGCTTTAAAGAAATGCAACACGGGGTCATTGCTGAATTTCTCCAGGCCCGCAACTGCAGCCTGCTGCACATGGTGGAAGTACTTTTCCTGGCTATAGTAAATGATCCCAGCCTGTGTGGAGGAAGACACAGTTGCACTAGCTCCGGCTCCTTTTCTCTGTTCTGACCCATATGTGATGAGACTGGTTCCCTTCCCTATCCTCTACTTTCCCTTAGCCTACATAGGGAAGAGAGAGAGAGAACATGCAGGCCTCATTCAGTCCCTGAGCGTAGCTCCATGCAGTTCGCCTAGGAAGGAGTTTTCCAGTGTTTGGATATTACCAATAGATGCTTGTTAAAATATGATGTGTAAATCAATTCAGGCTTTTTTTGAGAGAGTAATAAAGGAGAAAGAATGAGGACCAATATTAAGAAAAATTATACCAATAGTTATAGTTACAAGTTCAAGGGCTTTGTATCCATTATCTTATGCATAATCCTATCTATATCTTCCACAATTAAGAGCTAACTCTCACTTCCCCTAAGGTCTATGTGTGCTGGGGTTAGGTCCAAGTGTGGCTGGATTGTAAGAGCCTGGGGGGGGGCACATGAAAGAACCCCGACAACATCCTAAGGGCAATAAATAGGAGGCAGTTGGAATGGTTTTAAGTAGGAGAAAAATGTATTAAGATGTATGTTTTTGTAAAAACTACACTAGCTGCTATGTGTGGTGGTAGTGCACACTGCCTGTGAAGACAACTAAAGCAGGAGGGAGCCTGTTGCAGGTGTTCAGATGAGAGACCGTGGTGGCCCTGGGCTAAGAGATGAATAAAAGAAGTGGGTGAACCCTGGGCACATTTAGGAGTAGACATTTCTTATTGATGAAAGTATTAAGAGAAAGGTATGGGGAAGATGTATTAATTAACGCTGGCGATCAAATGGTGGTGGCATCTACTGAGATGAGATGCAGAAGAGGTGCAGGCAAGGGTAGGGGGTGGAGAGGGTTAAGTAGAAGAGATGACAAAACAGTGGAGATGGAATGATTTGGTTTGGGGTGCTAAAGGGACAGGACCCGGATGGTGGGTGCTAACTTGGGGCTCAGGGTTCATAGAGGGCACTAGTGTCAAGGCACTCTCCAGGGACAGTGAGGCAAGATAGGGCAGGGACTCCTGAGGAGGCTAGGGACAGAGAAGTGAGGCCAAAGAGGTGGCTCGCGAGTAGAGGGCCGGGGTCACCCGGCCGGAATTGTCGGGCAGCAGTCGGGCCACGCACCATAAGAGAAGAATCATTGCTGCTCATCTCCGGCCACTCGCGGCGGCGAGTCCGGCTCTGGTAGGGCGGTGCAGAGCTGGATTCCAGGGTCAGGGTCCTGGGCACGCCTCTCCTGGCTGGAAGTCGAAGGCACGAGCGTCCTTGGAAACCGGGCAGCCAGCCGGTTGCTAAGAGCGGCGGCGTAGGGAGTGGGCGGAGCACGGCGCACCACGTGACAAGGCACTGGTAGTTGAGCTTCGAGAAAGTGAATCCGCGCTGGGGCTCCCCGGCTGCCTGCAGGTCGGCGTTGGTGGTGGACGCGGGCGCCGAGCGGGGCAGCGGTCATGGGCCTGGGCTCCAGCGCCCAGCAGCCTGCTGGCGGCGCCGAGGGCTTCCACCTGCACGGGGTGAGTCGGTCCCGGGGCGCTGGTGATCTTGGAAGCGCGCCTGTAGCGACGCGTCCGCGCGTTTGGTCACCTTTCGGTTGGCGGCTACCGCGGGGTCCCCGCCCGAGCGTTGCAGCTGTGGGCTGCCAGCCTCTTGAGAGAAGTGGCATCGCCGGACTCCAGGCCTCGACGCTTCTGCCATCGCCATGGGGCTCGGCGCCCGCCCCAAATGCCAGCTGTGCAGGAAATGGGGGCGTTCCGTGTGGCGCTACCCGGAGTGGCGTTCTTCCGGGTGAAGAACGCGCCGGCTCCTGGCAGAACTCTCTGGTGCCCTCAGGGCAGATTGGTGATGACCTCTGTGTGCTGTGCTCCGTGCTGAGTTGGGGACAGCCAGCAGCTCCAAGGACCGAGTAGTTCCCTGCATCGATCTTGCCGTTAAGACTTGCCCGTCGCATTGTCAGGAGGGGTATGGGGGCGGAGCGAGGACCAGTGGAACTAGCCGGGAAAGTGGGGCGCAGGAGGCCAGGAGAATGCCGCAGAAGCCCGGGAGAGCGTTTGCAGCTTGGGGAAGCGCCCGAGTGGTGAAACCCTGCGGAAAGGCGGGTCGGTGAGGCAGGGACTGAGGATGGGCTTTAGGTGCCAGGAAGTTTGGACGAATGGGCTTTAGGTACCCCTGCAAGGAAGTTTGGACGAATGGGCTTTAGATGCCCCTGCAAGACCCCCACCCCTGCACACTTAAGCTTGTGTGAAGCGATGGATGTAGAGATGGGTGTAGATAGACAAGTTTGCTCCTTTGGTGCCTGGCTGTTGAGTGTTCTCTGCTTTTAAGGAAGGCTCTGTAAGCAGGTGTCACATAGGAGGGGGTTTCTAACAGGAAAGCCAGGCCTTTTTTGAGTACCCAGCATTGATGAGATTTGTGCTTGGGGATGGCCTTTCATATGGCGAGGCAGAGAGGCAGACAGTGGAATTCATCCAGCCAGAGTAGTCTTGGAACAGGTTTGATGAATTAAAAGGAATTCAGGGTGTAGGCAACCGGGGAAGCCATGGGGTGGTGGTAGGAGTGCAGACAGGAGGACCTAGTGGAGAGGGACAGGATGAAGAGGCTAAAGGATTGGAAGTCATCCTCCACATATTTGTGAGCACTTAGTCTGGCAGGCAGAGTTCTAGGCAGCAGAGATAAAGCTGTGAACAGAATAGACAATGTCTATAATCCATTCTTGTGGTGCTTGCATTTGGATGTCAGTTGGGAGAGAAGGAAGATCATAGGAAACAAATATGGTAGGTGGTAACCTGCTAAAGCAGGTTAAGGGAAAAAGATGGGTTGGTGCCATTTTCTAGAGTGGTCAGGAAAGGCCTCTGATCAAGTGATTTTTGGACAGATGTCTCAGCCAGAAGGGCAGACAGTATAGATATGGAGGAGAGAGTATTCCAGTTAGAAGGCCCAGCAAAGGTGGGTCATGCTTGTGTGTCTGGGGAAGTTTGAGGAGGCAAAGACAGCATTTTGGAAAGTGTGGCCAGTATCAGGAGGAAGTCAGGCTGTGTAGGACCTTGCTACTGTCCTGAAGGTTCAGGATTTTATTCTGAGATGTGGGGCCTTTGGTAGGTTTTATGTGGGGAGGTAACATGATCTGCTTATATTTTTAAAACTTAAAAGAACAAGTGTGCTCCATTCTATAAATACTGGCATTCCCACCACGTGCCAGACTTGTTGTCGATGTCCTTGCCCTCAGTAAGTATATGGTAAGGAAGGATTCACAAGGAGATGGCTGTTATATGGCAGTGGTTAGGGGACGACTGTGGGTTGGATTTCCTAGGGACTGAGCCCCTTTTCTCATTTTAACTTGGGTTTAGTAAAAGAGTTGAATGGATAAAGCAGGTGAAGTGGTACTATCCTTGCCACTGGCCAGCCAGCGCTGGGTGACTGTGTAGGCTGCCATCACTGTTTGTTCCATGAGGTTCACTGGTGGGGAAAAATAGGATGGGGTGTTATGAAAAGCAGTACACAGTGTGGGGCTAAATGGTGTAGGGCATGCTGGGAGTCTCCAGGGAGAACTGGATGGAGGGGTGGTGAGTTTTACAGGAAAAGGGTGCAGTGGATGGCAGTAGAGATGATTTCAGCTGTGGAGCCCAGTGAACAATGACAAAGCCTGGGGTGAGGGAAATGGAGTTTAGCAGGCAGAGGGCAGGCCCACAGGAGAGGATGGGTGGAGGTACTGGGTGGGCTAGGGGAGCACCAGCCCTGGGGACTGGGGGCCTGAGTGTCAGCCCTCATCTAGGGAGGCTGACATAGTGTTGAGTAGGGGTGGCATGGCCTTGGGCATGGCCTTTCCTGAGGGGAGGTGGGGTGTTTTGCAAGTGACCCTACTCAGGGAGAAGCACCCTCCAAAGTAGCCCTGCCCTTTGGTTTTTAGAAGCCCCTGAAGGGATAGAGGGCAGGCTCAGCTCTCCTGAAGCAGGGCCTAGGAACAGCTTGCCCTCTGGGCTGGGCCAGCTAAGGTTGCTAGGCCCATGTTGGAAGCGATGGCAGCTTCTGGAGGTAATAAGGAGAGATTGCAGTTGTTGCTGCCAGAAGACAGTCCTGATTCCAGAAGCAAACTGGCCTTATCCCAGAGGCTCAGCAGTTCGTTCTCAGCAGGCTGTCTGAGACCTCTCTTTCAACTTGGAGAATCCAAGACTGGAGGGTTGGTGAGCAGCAGAAGGCCTCCAGAACCCGAGACCACAAGAGTCCTGTGCCTCTCAGAACACAGAGGCCTGGCTGTTATCTGACCCTACGAGGTCATCAGTGTCCACAAAGGCCTAAGTATGGTCCTACCATCAGGGTCCAGGAACTGGGGACAAAGGGCACGTTGTGTGAACTTGGACCTGCAAGGCCTGGTTGTATTTTAGAAATATATTGAGCTGGAGAGTCCAGAGAGGAATACGGAGCAACCTGGCCTGGGAATGGCTCATGAAGGAGGTTTCCTCCCTTGGACTGTGAGACTACTGGGGAGGCTCATCAGGCCCAGCCCTGCCCCTGTGGTGTGCTTTCCTTCCCAGCATTCTTCAGTGGCCCTCAGTTACCTGCTGGATTGAGTCAAGGCCAGGCCTTTCAAGATCTGGTCACAGGCTGCCTTTCCTACTCCCCCTTTCCGGGCACAGCCCTGGATGTATTTCTCCTGCCTGCTTTCCTTGAGCATTGGGGTCCCTTGTCCATGTCTGAACTTTTCTAATAACATACTCTGGCTTTCCGGCCAGTCCAACCCAGCCCTCTGGGGCAGCATTTCCCATAGGCCTGGGCCAGCTTATCTCCATGTGCCTCCTGGTAACCCCCAAAGGCAGCCTTGGGCTGTGAGGCATCTCTGGAAGCATTTGTGGATGATGATCAGGAAAAGACCCATTTTCTTAAGAGGAAAGCTTGTGACCAGGAAGGTAGAGAAAGGGAAGGAGTAGACCTGGACAATGCCAAGAAGCTGTGCTCTCGAGGGCACTGGGCGTGGTGATATGCCAGGGTTGGCAGTGGTTCTGGGAACAGTGGTGGGGGCTTCTTGAGCCTGGGTTTGGTGCAGTGACTGGCCTCTGTCATGAACAGGTGCAGGAGAACTCGCCGGCCCAGCAGGCGGGCCTGGAGCCTTACTTTGACTTCATCATCACCATTGGGCACTCGCGGCTGGTGAGGCTCCCCCCACTGCCTCTGCTTTGTTTGTGTACTTGCGTCCCTCTGTCCCACAGGAGGCCCAGCCTGCCTCTGCTTGTGTTTTTTACCCAGGGTCACTGAGGGCAGAGGGACTCTTGAAGGTGGGTTTGAGGGTGTGAAGGGGACTGGCCAAGTGCAGTATGGAGTGCTCTGGACCCAGGAGGCTTTGTGCTTGCTTGGTTGTGTTTTCTGGCCTAGGGAGGGAGGAGGATTGGGAAGTGCTGGGTGGTGGGGGTCACAGTGGCTGCAGCTCACTCTGGCACCTGGCTCTGCTGGGGCTGCTGGCCACCAAGGCCCTTGTGCCATCTTAGGCCCTGACCTGTCTGAAGGGACTGACCTGGGGCTGGGGGATGAGGGCTGGGGCCTTGGTGTCAGCCCTGTTGCCCCTGCAGAACAAGGAGAATGACACGCTGAAGGCGCTGTTGAAAGCCAACGTGGAAAAGCCCGTGAAGCTGGAGGTGTTCAACATGAAGACCATGAAGGTGCGCGAGGTGGAGGTGGTGCCCAGCAACATGTGGGGCGGACAGGGCCTGCTGGGTGCCAGCGTGCGCTTCTGCAGCTTCCGCAGGGCCAGTGAGCACGTGTGGCACGTGCTGGTGAGTACAGGGTGGGGTGCTTGGAAGGAGCTGGGATCCGGGTGGGGGCAGGCATGCCAGGATTGAATGGGTGGGGCACGGGGCAGAGGCCAATAGCAGTGGCTTATTAGGGGACTCAGTGTGGGATCTGGTGGTGTGCCAGTTCCTGAGAGGGCAGCTCGTGTTACCACCTGGACTGTGTACCCTACTTCCTGTTAGCCATGTGACTTTGGGCACTTTTTTACCTTCTGCATCTTAGTATCTTTTTTTGAAAGGCGGGGATACCATCTACTGGAGTGGTGGTTGTACTGCCAGAATGCTGCTACTGTTATCAATCTGTCTCTCAAGATAGCATAGATAGTGATTTTTCTGGTATATTGTTATATAGGTAATCGATACATAAACAGGCCACAGTGGCTGAGCTGGAATCGTGTCTGATTACAGCTACTGTGCACCTGACACCTGTGCTCATAGGTGGTGTCCACGTTCTCAAGTGCATAATCCTGTGGTGTGGTGGAAGGAGAGTTCCCT